TACAGGTCGATTGGGCCCGTGTGTGGATCGCAGTCGCTGATTGTCCCGATCTATTTTCCGAGCGCCGTGAATCCTGCTGATGCTCCCACGAGAGGCAAAAGCGTGGATTCACCCATCGAGCTTCCTCCTGCTTGGTGGGCTGAACTCTGTGAGGGCCGTGCCCACCTGCTGGAGGAGGCCACGCTGACGGCGGGGTTCGGGCCTGACGGCGACGATTTCGATCAATCACAGCTGTACAACTTGTGCGCGGCCGATCCTCCCTGTCTCGCTTCGGCGACTCGCCAAAAGCGTGAGCTTTTGAATCTGGCTCGTAACGGCGACAAGCCCTTCCCAGTTTGGAGCTCGAAAGCTAGGCGTTCGGCTGAGTACACAAGTCGGCAGCTCGGCCCGCGATTCAGTGGCCCCTCGTTGTCTGAGGAGGTGCAGCTTAAACTCAGTCAGTTGCCCGCGCGCCTCTTCCGCTGCCATGGAGGCCTACCTGACTTGGCCTCTCCCGGAAGCTTAGTGCTGTGGCCTGGGCGCGGTGGCATTGAACGTGAGTTGCTTCGGCTCGGGTGCCCTTGGGTTTTGGTGTTTGACCCTGGCCGCTCCACTGCCGAAGACTTGGACAACACTGCGCTGCGTGACTGTCTGTCTCTCCTGGTGTCTTGCAAAGCCTTTCGTGCCGTCTACGCGTGCCCCCCAGGTGCAACTTTCTCGAAAGCTCGTGTGAAGCAGGCAAGGAAGGGTTCGTCTGTTGAGGGCCGCGCTCAGCTCGACACGTGGACTTCTGAGAGGGTCCAACGGGACAACTCCCTGTGCCTGTGGATTTCTGAGGTCCGGGACGCCTGCGTCTCCAAGCAGCTAGGGTATGCCATTGAGTGCCCTGACTCCTCTTACTGGTGGCGTATGCCTGGCTGGAGCGATGAGAGGACACCATGGTCGGATAAGGTCTGGCGGCTGGACTTTTGCCGGTTTGGCACGGTCTGGCGGAAGCGCACACGTGTTGCCACTAACACGTCGTTGGCCGGGGCTAGACTTCTTTGTGCAAATTGCGGCCATTGGCGCCTCTTCGGCTTCTCGTCAGTACATCGGAAAGCTTGGACTGCCGTTGCCGATGCCCGGCCGCGTGGATTCAATGCTGCGGTTGCGACTGCTCTCTGCGCTCACGCCGGGTGGACTCTGCAGAGACCTCTTGATGTCCTCGCGTGCGCCAAGCTGCCCAACTTGTGCCGGGCCGGCGAGGCTAAGAACCCTGGCCCTCGTCGCCCCCGGGTTGATTTCCGCCTGGATGATTTGGAGTCTCGGCCCCTGTACTCTTCCACATCTTCGATGCTGGCCCAGCGTGCCTGGAATTCCTTCCTGCTCTGGTGTGGCCTCTACTTGACCTTTGACCCGCTGCCTGTGTTTCACATGTGTCCCGCGCTGCTCGCCATGGCCCTCCGCGCTTTCGGCAATCACCTCTACATGTCTGGAGGCGCGATTCACACGCTGAGGTACGCTATTGTGGCAGGACAGCGGCTGAATTGGAACACTCGGGGTCAGCTGGGACCCGCGTGGGAACTGGTTACCAGATGGGAACGCGTGCAACCTATTAAGCACCGGACCCCTATACCTGAGGTCATCGTCAAGGGCTTGGTGGTCTTAGCTTGGTTCAGGGGCCTACGTCGCTGGGCGGCTTGCACCTTGATAGCCTTTTATGGGCTTGCTCGCATCGGCGAAGTCCTTCGTGCCCGCAGAGCTCACCTCCTTCTGCCCGAGGACCACTTTTCTGAGCTGCAGGTGTTTTTCTTGAAGCTGGAAGGTCCGAAGTCAGCTGCTCGCGGAGGCCCCAAGGTCCAGCACCTCAAAGTCGACTTCGAGGCCGCAGTCTTACTGGTGTCTAAGGTTTTCTTGGCTCTTCGAGGAGACGAGCGGCTTTACCCTTTCAGCCCTGCCGCCTACCGCTCGCGGTGGAACTACCTTCTAGGCCACTTCGGGTTACAGAACGACAAGGAGCTGACTCCAGGCGGGCTTCGCGGCGGAGGCGCAGTCTGGGCTTACCACCGAGGCATGGGAGTCGCGGACATTCAATGGAGGATGAGGATGAAACACCAACATACGTTGAGAAGTGGCCGCCATCAACAGCATGGTGGCAGCTGGTGAGGACGCGCGTCACTCTTTGCAATATGCAGCTCAACTTTTCTCTTTTCTGCAATTTTCAACTTGATGGCAACCTCGTGGCCGTGCTTCGGCTCCAAGCTTGCGGCGACGCGCCGTTTGCTTCGCATACGGCTGGTACTGGCATATGGGTGGAACAGCAGCTTTCTGGGCCACGACAAGTTTTCGGTCCTCTTTGCTTCGGCACTTTTCTACCGAACTCTTTGGCCTGGAAAGGCTTTGCTGACGGCATCCTGCCTGTGACTTTCGTACCTGCACGAGGAAAAACCGGAGTGCCGAGGGCGTGAGCGAAGGAGCTTAAACATGTGCCCCACATGTTTCTGTGACGAAGTGATCGTAGCTTTTTCGGCCCGCCCGCCCACCCGTCTAAAGACTAGACGGAACAGCAGCTTTCTGGACCACGACAAGTTTTCGGTCCTCTTTG